ACATCAAATAAATTATTTTCTTGCTTTTTTTAAAACAATCGCTTCATAGGGACCTAGGCAGGTAATTCTTCTGATTATAAATATCGCAATTACACTGCAAATCTCAATATTTTAATCGTGATACAGATGAACGGGAATTCACCTAAGAAGTCTCTATAGTTTTTCCTGCCGACACTTAATTCTCTAATCAAACGGCAGTCCGCTACCCGGCTATTCAAATCATCAGGGCGCGACAAGCTCCGTTGGTATATGCATTCGGCAGCGCTAGACAGCGGAAAGCGGCTTCAACGCTATCTAGTGGTAGCGCGCTAGTAGATCAGGCGGTCAGCGAACGACAATAAAGATCAAGAGAAAAAAAAAAAGAGACGTGTAAACTCCGCGGGAGGAGCGAGAGGCGAAGTTGATACGCGCGGAGTTGATACGTGTGTATGTGCAAGTCGAGTCGAGCCGGAATCTCTGGGTTGTTTTGAGCGATGCACTGAGTCGCATCCTTCACGACGGTTCTCCGTCCTTCGTCCAGTCTTCGTCGGAGTCGGCGAGACGTCCGGAGCGAGAAGGCCGCGCGAATTGACAGTGTGCACTCCCCGTCCGATCTTCGCTGACGGCGCGACCGCTCGACCCGGGTGTACACGGTATCTTCATCACTGCGCATTAATTGAACGGTCGACCTGCGTAATTATCCCGGATATTGTTTACGCGGCGCGTTACCCGTTTAATCCGATGCTCGCGTCTAAACGTCACGTTACACGGTCTACAAACCGCTACCACTCTAATTAAGGATTTCCACTGTGTACAATTTGATCACACACACACACACACACACACACACACACACACGTATACGTTTATCCGTTAGATAAGACCTGTTATTTTGTTTACGTGAAAAATATCGACAGTGACGAGATAATAGAAATAAATAGCTGGTCTCTTCGTTTTATTTTTATAAAGGATAGATGTAAATTTGTGTGCCATACTTTGGAGCATTAATATTATTTTGAATTCTTGATGTTGAAAAGATGTGATTTTTCTAGATATGATGACATTCAGCATATAAATGTTGCCGAAGGAGGAAGCAAAGATCAGCACCATGACTGAAGGTTGGTTATTCAAATTAAATGCAATAATAAATTTAGAAACTAATAAATTTCTATATCTGTCATAGGTGCAGAGACTCAGCCAAATGCAGGAAATGAACCCCAGACAGGTAAGTCATTGGTTCATTGATGATCATATATATATATATATATATATATATATATGTGTGTGTGTGTGTGTGTGTGTGTTTCTTAAGTATATAACTATATAAAGTTAAATGTCAAGTCCAATATAATTGAATTAGAATTTATAGATATCAGTTATATGACAGAATAAGGTTTCATTTTTTGTCTAATTCTATTATTATTATGTTAAAAACATATATCTATTCTATTTAATTGTTTGATAAATGTTGAAATGCAAAATAAAATATTTAATTTAATAGAGAATAAGATTTTTGTTAATAGAAAAGATTAAAAAAAGTATTTTCTATATTCTTTATATATTATGTTAAAGCAGCTTAAAATATAATAAAAAAATGTTTTATTAATAAAAATGCACTTTTTACAGATGGAAATTATAAATTTATGTTGTACTTTTACAGAAGCCTTAGAACCAAGGACAACACATAGTGATGGATTACATGATGGAACAATGGAATCAACATCGCAAGCTGCTCTTGAACCTATGCAAGAGCTTCTTACAGTTCATGGAGCTACGCAAGGAGAAAGCAGCGATGCTGTCAGTATTTACACTGCCAGTACTTCGGTGTCTGGTAATGGTAAGTTTGCAAATTCTAGTGATATCAAGATATGTATATATGTATATATTTATCTATGTACATATGTATATATTTATTTATATCTTTTTTTAGAGTCAAGTTCAAGTAGAATCAGCGCGATAACTGTAGTTTTACCTTGGGGTGCTCAAAAAGAGACAGTGAAGCCTCAACAAATAGAAGATATGGATCTAAGACCAGGAGAATACGTGATGCGTATCCTGTTTGCAGAATTTACTTCACAAGCAGAAAAAAAGATGGAAGCCGTTATGACAGAACATGTAAGCAACTGTTGCAGTGACTTTTGTTGCAACAATATATTTAAACGTGTTATTTTTAGGAAAAACAATTATCAAAAGTATTACAAAGAGGAGAAGATCCACAATTTGATCAACTATTATCAGCTTTCGGTTCTGTTGCCGAACATTGTTTACCGTCAATATTGAAAGCTCTTTTTAATTGGTATGAACGTCAGCTTGTAGATCAAGGTGGCGATCAAAAAAAACCTGCTCCTGGAAAGGAAGACCAAAAGGGAAAAAGGTAATTTAAAGATTACAAAAAACAAAATTTAAAGATTACATATGTTTTGCAAACATTATAAAGTAACAAATATATTATTTCAGCATTATGTATACAATAGTGTCAGGAAGTGTAGAAACAGTGGAAAGAAGCGAAGCAGACCTCTTGCAAGAGCGTAGAGATCTCGCAGTTGAATTTATATTTTGTTTAATGTTGATCGAAGTTTTACGTCAATTACCATTTCATCCTGGACATGAGGATTTAGTAACATATATAGAAAATATCGCTTTTAAACATTTTAAATATAGAGAAGGGTAAGAATTAATGTTGTTTTAAAATGAAAAGAAAAAAGATAACATCAATAAATTAATATTTACATATCTTTCTAGCATACAAAATGAACCAAACGCAGCTAATATTCACATTATCGCTGATCTCTATGCTGAAGTAATAGGTGTTTTGGCGCAATCCAGATTTATGTCAGTGAGAAAACGTTTTATGGCAGAACTTAAAGAATTACGAGCTAAAGAGCCAGGTCCTCATACTACACAAAGTATTATTTCTTTACTAATGGGAATGAAATTTTTCCGAGTTAAAGTAATTATTCTATTCAGTAATATATTTAATATATATATATATATATATATATATATATATATATATATT